AATCTTTAAAAAAAAAAAAAAGACTGTTCTTTCTCCATTGAAGTTTTGGTACCCTTACCGAAAATCAATTGACCATAGATGTGTAGATCAATATCTGGCTCTCAATTCTATTTCATTGATCTATATGTTATCCTTATGGCAGTATCACATTATTTTGATTACAGTAGCTTTGGAGTGCTATTTAAATCAGGAAGTGTGAGTTCTTTTATTTTGTTCTTTTTCAAAATGACTCTGGCTGTTCTGGGTCCTTTGCAATTCCATGTGAATTTTAGGGTCAGCTTTTATATTTCTATAAGAATCTATTGGGATTTTGGTGGGGATTGCATTGAATCTATAGACCATTTTGGAAATACTGCTATTGTTAACAATATTAAATCTCCCAATCCATGAGCATGGGATGTATTTCCATTTATTTAGATCTTCTTTAATTTCTTTCAGCAGTGTTTGTTAGTTTTCAGCATACATGTCTTTGACTTCCTTGGTTAAATTTATTCCTAACCATTATTTTATTTTATTTTGTTTATTTATTTATTTATTTGAGAGAGAGAGAAAGCATGCACATGGCGGGGGAGGGGCAGAGGGAGAGAGAGGGCTCCATCTCATGACCCTGAGATCATAATCTGAGCCGAATTCAAGAGTGGGATGCTTAACCAACTGAGCCACACAGGCGCCCCCATTTTATTATTTTAGATGCTATTGTAAGCGGGATTGTTGTAACTTCATTTTTGGATTGTTCGCTGTTAGTGTAGATAGGTATAACTGATTTTTGTGTGTTGATCTTGTATCCTGCAACTTTGCCAAATTCATTTATTACCACTAATAGTTCCTTCGTGGATTCTCTACGATTTTCTATATATAAGACTATGTCATTTGTAAATAGAGATAATGTTATTTCTCCCTTTCCAATTTGGATGCCTTTATTTCTTTTTCTTGTCTAATTACTCTAGCTAGAACTTCTGGTACAACGTTGAATAGAAGTAATGAAAATGGGCATCCTTGTCTTGTTCCTGTTCTTAGGGACAGGCTATCACTCTTTCACCATTGAGTATGATGTTAGCTGTGACTTTTTATCAGGTTGAGGAGGTTCCCTTCTATTCCAAGTTATTTGAACTTTTTTATTTTATCATGAAAGGGGGCTGGATTTTGTCAAATACTTTCTCGGCATTCATGGAGATGATCGTGTGGCTTTTTTCCATCTTTCTGTTAATGTGGTGTATTATGCTCATTGATTTTCATATGTTGAACCAACCTTGCATTCCTGGGATAAATCTCACTTGATCATGGTGCATAACCCTTTTCCTGTGCTGGTGAGTTTAGCTTGCTAGTATTTTGTTGAGGATTTTTGTCCCCAAGTTTATCTTTAAAAGGTGGCTGAGCATCGTGGTTAGGAAACAGAAGTCAGATCAATCTCATTCTCATCTTAATTCTGCCACTCGCTTATTGTAATGGGTGTGTTGACTAAGGTTCAGTTTCTTTGTCTATACAATGGGTTCATAAGCATATCCACCTCCTGGGATGATTGTGAGGATTCCAACAAAGGATGGACAGATTTACTGGGACACCTTTGTGGTGTTTCCCTGTGCCTGGCTCTTGGGCTGGCTCCCTGTGTTGTATGCCTTGCATATATTAGTTCATGGATAAATCTTGCAACAACCCTGTTAAGTGAGTGCCGTTAGGGCCCCCATTTTACAGACAAGGAGGCTTGGGCACCAAGAGGTGACGTGGATCTCTTGAGAACACACAGCTGGAAAGCAGGAAGCCAGCATCATTGTGGCCTTGGAGCCTCTCAAGTAGGCACTCAATGGGGGCTGTTGTTTTCACCCCCAACGTTTTATGACAAAATGTTTTCAAGCACGTAGGGAAGCCGAAAGACTTGTATGGTAACCAGTCCCCTGTACACCCACCACCCAGATCCTGCCATTAGGTCTGTCTGCGCTTACTCTATCGCTCATCTGTCCGTCCCATTTTTGACGCATTTCAAAGTTGCAGACATCAGAATACTTCCCCCAGACATTTCGAGCATGCATACCGTAAAGTAGAATTCATTCATTTCCCACTCATTTTCTTTTAAAGTCAAATACATGCTGTGCACAGACCCAAGTATGTTAACAACTACATATACTTGTGCAACCCAAGCCCCCATCAAGACCTAGAACATTCCTCCACTCCAACCAAGCCTCCTGCCCCTTCCCAGTGAGTTCCCACCCCCACCCCTACCCCCTAAGGAACAGCCACGCTTCGGACTTTTTTCACCACAGATTAGTTTTGCTGGTTTTAGAACTTCATATAAAGGGAGCCATACAGCACTGCACTCTTGTTTCTGGCTGTTTTCACTGGGAGCTGTCATCTGTGTCCCTCCGGGTGCAGATGCACACGGAGTCCCGAGGTGGGGGCGGGGGACTTGTCCAGGATCACCCGACACACCGAGCGGGTGGCACCCGGGGCTTTGGCGTCTGGCCTGCACAACGCCGCCTCTCCACGCCCGGCCTGACCTATCTTCCCACAGGGCGAGAGGCTGAGCCACGCCGTGGGCTGTGCCTTTGCGGCCTGCCTAGAGCGGAAACAGCGGCGGGAGAAGGAATGCGGGGTCACGGCCGCCTTCGACGCCAGCCGCACCAGCTTCGCCCGCGAGGGCTCCTTCCGCCTGTCCGGCGGCGGGCGGCCCACTGAGCGAGAGGCCCCCGAGAAAAAGAAAGGTGGGTGCTGCCCAGAGGGCATGCAGTTTGGGGGGAGAGCGGCAGAAGCCCGGGGAGTCTGCACTTTACAAAGCACAGCACCAACCACAGGGTTTGGTTACAGTTTACAGAGCTCACTTCTATTGGGCAATAGTGCGCAGGCCACAGATTCCAGCAAAACTCACCAGCGCTCCATTATCTGCTAAGTCAGGGACGCTCGGAGGCATTTCAAATTGTGTATCAAGGCCAGTTAATGGCTTGTGAAGTCAGCTTGGTGGATTGTGGCTGGCTGGCACTGAAAAAAACTGAAATAGAAAAGAACAGAAAATATCAGATTAGCTGAATGTATTAAGGTAAATGTAGTTCAATGATACTTTTATTTCAGTGTATGTCTTTGCGTGTGTGTGTGTGTGTGTCTGTGTGTGTGAGACAGCTTACTGTGTAAAAGGTTTTTCTTACTTTGGGTTGCCATCAAGAAAAATATCTGGTAATCTCTAACATTCTAGGTTAGTGGCAAATATTTTGTAAACTCTAAAACAGTGTGGTTTTTATTATTTTTTTTTGAGAGAGAGAGTGTGAGCAGGGGTAGACAGAGAAAGAGACAGAATCCCAAGCAAGGGGGTGACTGGGTAGTTCAGTCGGTTAAGTGTCTGCCTTCCGCTCAGGTCATGATCCCAGGGTGCTGGGATCGAGTCCCGCATCAAGCTCCCTGCTCAGCGGGAAGTCTGCTTCTCCCTTTCCCTCTGCCCCTCCCCCACTCGTTCTTGCCTGTGCTCTCTTTCAAATAAAAAAAAATTTTTTTAACACTGTCTGGGCCATAGCAGAACCCAGAGAATATATTCTTTTAATTGAAAAATTCTAGGTGCTTCATAAAAAAACTTTTTTTTAAAGATTTTATTTATTTATTTGAGAGAGAGAAAGTAGAAGCGGGGTGGGAGGGAGAAGCACAGGGAGAGGGAGAAGCAGACACCCTGCTGAGCAGGGAGCCCGATTGGGGACTTGATCTTAGGACCCTAGGATCAGACCTGAGCTGAAGGCAGATGCTTAACCAACTGAGCCACCCAGGTGCCCCTCTCTCAAAATCTTAAAAAAGAAAAGAAAAAAAGAAGCCCAAGCGGGCTCCACTGGGCTCGATCTCACAACCCTGAGATCATGACCTGAGCCAAAATCAAGAGTCAGTCACTTAACCAACTGAACCACTCAGGCACCCCTAAAACAGTGTGTTTTTTAAAATATAAGTATACTGTGTTCTGAGTCACAGTATTTTTTTTTTTTAATGTGGATTCTAGTTTTTAAATTTTTGGAAAACACTGCTTAAAATTTACAAAGAACTTACAGTGGGGAACTGACCCAGATTAAAGGAGACTAAAGAGATTTGACAAGTAGTAATAAATGCACGGTGTGATCCTGAATTGGATCTTAGATGATCTCCATCTATAAAGAGCATCTCTAAGGGACATGATCGGGAAAGTTGGGGACATTGGAACACGGACCACAGATTAGCTCATCGTCTTGTACCCACGTTGGATTTAATTGTACTGTGGTTCTGGAGGAGGCCGTCCTTGTTCTTAGGAGGTATATGCTGGAGGTTTTAGAGTGAAGGATGTTGCCTACAATTTGCACTTGAACGGTACAGGAAAAAAAATTGTGGAAGGGAAGAGAGATCAAATGAGTTAACTGTGGGGAGCATAAGTTAGGAGAACATGTGGGCTCAGTGTTCCATGATTACATCTTGTTTGTAAGTTTAAAATATTTCTAACAAAACAAAATAAAAAATTAAAATAAAATATTTCTAACTAAAAAGTTAGGAAAACAAGTTTTTATCACTAGAATATTAGAGCGTCCAGAGTATATTTCTTTGTATAAATTACATTTACATACCTCTTAACAAATTTACAAGTTTTTCACAGATTACAAAGTATTTTACTGTTTACATCATCTATTCGAATTTGTAAAGTATTTTACCATCTGCCAAGCAGATGACAAAATGAAGTTAACAGTGGGCCTGATCGAGTATATGATGTTTTAGTGCTTACAAAAGAACAAACTGGGTCCACGGTTCTTCACAGTGTACAGATGTTTATAGAGGCTGTTGGCATTTACAAGGAACGTGCATTCACTTTAGAGTTTGCAAAGGGTTTTGCTGTTTCCAAAGGATGTGATCATTTCTAGGTACTTTGCAATGTAGAAGGCATTCACAGCTTACACAGCAAAATGAGAGTTTACAGAGTGTGGTATGATTTGCTGAACACACCACTCAGCATTTCGCTGTAGATGTGCTGATTTACAGCCTCAAGGCACCGTGCTTGCCCTTCGACAAGGAGCTCCTTCCAATTTAGGAGTGACGGAGCAGTGCGCACTTTCCACAAAGAATGGAGGGGCTGCAATAATCTGGAAAATTCCCCAGAGGAAGAAGTGTGCCAAGCTGGGTCTAGAATGCTAAGTAGCAACTGGAGGAAGGGGCAAAGTACCTGAGTTGGGAAGAATGGTGGGAAGTGGAGAGAAAGAATTGCAGACAGAATGACAGGAAGATAGCATGATGTGGAGAGAGCAGGCCAGAGGGAGAGGCAGGATTAGGGTATTCGTTTAGGACACAGACTGGAGTCAGCCTGCCCCTTCCTAGCATTGTGGCTTCAGCAGAGTCACTTACCATTGCTGGGCCTCGGTGTCCACATCTGTAAAATGGGGATAATGCTCATATCAGCCTCACTGGGTAGCTGCGAGAATCGAATGACTCCATACTTGCCAGGCACTTGAAACAATGCCTGATACATGCGTCACGCACCAAATACGTGTTCGTTAAATTAATCAGAAAGGGAGACAGAAGGTCTCAGAAGGGAAAACAGCGGAAGCAGCAAAGAAAGCCAGACTGGGGCCAGAAAGCGAGAGATACCCAGAAGGTGAGGTTGGAGGAGGAATCCCCGAGGGCCTCCTGGGGCAGGCGGTAACTGGCGTGGTGGGGATGAGAGACATTTCAGGGCTCTGACCAGCCTGTCGTGAGGACAGGCAGGACACAGTGGGTGAGGAAGGCAGCACTGGAAGATGATCAAGGGGACTTGGTGGGAGAGGAGCGAATGCCTAGGTGGGGTATCTAACCACCTGTCTCCCCCATGTCTCCAGCAGAGGCAGCAGCTGCCCCAACTGCGGCGCCCGGCCCTGCCCAGCCTGGGCACGTGTCCCCGACACCGGCCACCACATCCCCCGGTGAGAAGGGTGAGGCGGGCACCCCAGTGGCTGCAGGCACCAGTGCGGCCGCCATCCCCCGACGCCACGCCCCCCTGGAACAGCTGGTTCGCCAGGGCTCCTTCCGTGGGTTCCCGGCACTCAGCCAGAAGAACTCACCTTTCAAACGGCAGCTGAGCCTACGGCTGAATGAGCTGCCATCCACACTGCAGCGCCGCACTGACTTCCAGGTGAAGGGCACAGGTGAGCCCGGGGGCTCAGCCGGAAGGAACATCAGGAGCAATACCATACCGCCGTCCGTAGTGAATACCAGGGAGGGAAGAGGTGGTATACACCTTGATCGATTAGCACTGTCTGCCAGGGGAAAGGAAAGAGAGGTGGAACACATCGTGGTCGATTGGCGATTAGCCGCATCTGCCGCCAGCAAGGGAGAGAGCGGTAGTATAAATCATGATCGATTAGCAATGTCTACTGTTGGCAAGGAACAGCAGAAGGATGGCACAAGCCTCGATCGATTCGTAATGTCTGCTGTGGTTAGGGACATGAGAGAGGTGGCTTTCATCACGATTGATTAGCAGAGTCTGCCAGGGGCTCGGGAGAGGGGAGAAGCTGCCTAGATGCCATTGTTTGCTCAGGAGGAGGCTGAGACTCCAAGCATTTGGCCATTGGAGCCATAAGATCTAGCTAGATGAAGGATACAGGCTCAGACAAAGGGAGGATTGCGACGGGTTAACAATGTCTGCCTGAGGCAGGGAGAATAGAATGACAGCATATGGCACGATCTCCTGACAGGGTCTGCCATGAGCAAGAAAAAGGAGCGAGGTGGCACACCGTATGATTAATTAGTGAAGGTTGCCATGGATAAGGGAGAAGAGAGAGCAGCAGAATTTTATGTTAGCTCAAGGAGGGGCTCCCAGAATTTGGCCAGTGGAGACAGGAAGTGAAGAGCACACATGAGCATGGGGGTCAGGGGTCAAGGCGCATAGTGACGGGTTTGCAATGTCACTGGCAGGCAAAGGATCAGGCAGAGGCAGCACCCATCATCGTTGGCCAGCCATGTCTTCCAGGGACAGTGCTGAAGAAAGAGGGGACACATCATCATCGATTAGCCATGTCTGCTCTGGGTGCTGCTGGGAGAGGCAATGGAGCTGTTCTGTTTTTCTTAAAGGGGAGATGGAATTGCAAGGACCAGTGCTCTCTCTTAGCCATGAGGTCTGGCCAGGTGAGGGGGAAGGCGAGCAGAGTTCAGTGGGGAAAAAGCATCGTGTTTGATTACTCATGTCTGCCACAGGCCAGAAAAAGGAGAGAGAGCTGGCATAGGTCATGATCTAAAAGCCACGTCTGCGTGGGAAAGGGGGAAGAGAGGTGGCCCAGTGCCGTGTTCTGCCCGAGGGAGACAGGCAAGAGGGCTGCCTTTCCTCCCAGCTGTCCGTGAAGTCACGGGGTCTGGCCCGCTTTCCTGCTTCCGTATGCCAGATCGGAGACGCCCACCTCTTATGGCCTCGGGGACTGGCGTGGGAGGTGTTGATCTGTGTCCGGAAGGCTGGGCCGCTCCCAAAGGTGACTGCTAAGCAGATGCCAGTGCTGGTCGAGAGTGACGCACAAGCGCTCCCTGTCCTGCAGCGTCCCTCGGCAGTCACACCCCCTCGCGCTTGCTGTCCTCATGCAGCCTGACACGAGCACGCTCTCTGGCTGCCCCTGATTTGGAAGCTTCATGCGCCTGGAACCAGTGGCACACTTGCTTGGGTGTGACCTGCCCCCCAGAACTTTCAGATCCATAGGAGTCACAGGTGCCACACACAGAAGTCACACACTCAATGTGACTCAGAAGTCACACACCCTCGGAAGTCACAGAAGCCGATGTTTCCATTGACACACACTTGGGCACGTATCCAGATAGCCCACGAGGAGGTACACACACTCACAAACCACACACCCGGATTCACGCAAACTCGAAAGACACATCTCAGATTCACACGCGCTTGCAAAAACATTTGTGTGTCACACGGGGGTGGCCGGATTGGCTCACGCTTGGGAAGCACAAGCAAGACGCCACGTGCCTGGATTTTGGTCACCCTGAGATGTCACACCTTCAGAAAGCTGCACACCCATTTGGACTAATCCGGTCATCCTAGAATTGACCTGGAAACCGCTGCCCTTCCCACCTGGGCACCCCCACATCACACCTGTGAAGCCCTACAGCCGATTTCTTTCTGATGCTCATCAGAGCATCACACAGGTTCGCTTGGAGACAACCGCTTGCTGAGACACCACACCCCAGTGGTATTTCTCTGTCGTTTGTTTGGTGTGGTTTGTTTGTTTTTTTTAATATTCTGCATTTATGACACTATTTTATTTTTTGAATATTTTATTTATTTGAGAGAGAGAGAGAGCACAAGTGGGGGGAGAAGCAGAGGGAGAGGGAGAGGCAGACTCCCCACTGAGCAGGGAGCCCGTCGCGGGGCTCGATCCAGGGCCCTGGGATCATGACCTGAGCCGAAGGCAGACGCTTAACCGACTGAGCCACCCAGGCACCCTGAGTCCTGCAGTTATTATGAGCTGGCACAGATAGTGGGTGCGATCACAGGCTGTGGAGCAGCCGTCTTAGCTCGGATCCCAGCTCACCCACGTATCTGCTGGGTGACCCAGAGTATGAGATTTAACCCCTCCGGGCCTCAGTTGCCTCATCTGTGAAATGAGGATAAACATGGAGCCTGCCCTAAATGAGAGGGTAGCTTCACGCAGTGTAAAATGGTGCTTGGTGCAGTATTTGTGCTCAGATCAGTGGATGTTAGCTGTTCTGGGTTTATTGTCAGTGCACGCGGCCAGGATCTGAGCACCTGTTTGCTCACCATTGATTTCCCGGCCCAGAGACTGCCCAAGGAGGCAGCAGCACATGACAGGAGTTAGGTTAGCAACTAAACAGGATTGATGCCTTTGCACAGGTGGTTCCCGAGCGCAGAGAGACCGTTCCCTGCCTTTTTGCCTAGTTAATACCTCTTCCAGGAAGCTCGGCCCGTCTCCTTAGCAAGCTGAGTTGGGCACCTCCCCATGGCTCCCACTGGTCCCTGTGCCTCCCCCGTCCCGGCCCTGACCCCTTGCCCGTGTCTCTCTCTGGTGATGGGCCTGAGTCCCACACTAACGGGGGAGCCCCATTCAAGCAGGGCCCACCTCTGTTTCAATGAGTGCGGCGTCCCCGACCCCGTTCAGGACAGGACAGAGAGCAGACACTAAGGGAGTGCTGAATGAATACGTGAAAGATAGTTCAAGTTCCTCTCCTGGTTTCCCCGGCCACCATCCAGGACCTGCTGGTAGACCAGACCATCGAAAAGGTCTCCTTTTGTGCCCCTGACCGCAACCTGGACAAGGCTTTCTCCTACATCTGTCGGGATGGGACCACCCGCCGCTGGATCTGCCACTGTTTCCTGGCGCTCAAGGACTCTGTGAGTATCACTGAAGCCGGGAGAAAGCTGGCTGACTCTTCTCTCCTGCGGCGTCGGGCCAGCCACTCACCCCTCCTCTCCATGCCCGGTGTCCTCACAGCTCCTAACTTAGAGTTCAGGGAGGCTGGAGGGAGTTAATACAAAGTATTTGGAATGACGGCTGGCACATCAGAAGTGCCCAGGAAAACATTAATTATCATCTTCCTCATTATCCATAGTTCTGCATGTTTCTCTTATTTTTGTTTTTTATGAGGGTTGTATGCATATAGTAACATGCACAGGTGGTCTGGGCAGGGCTCCATAAACTTGTGCTTACATAAAAATCCCAGCCAGGCCAAGTTGTAGAGAGTTTCCTGCCCCCAGCTGGTCCCTCGGGCCCTTCTCAATGATACCCCCAGGGTACCCACTCTTCTTTTAGCCTCGATTCACTGTGCCTGCATCAAGGTCCCCGCCGAGAATCTGATGGAAGCCACAAATGGACTGTCTTCTCAGAAACATTCTTAGTTAGGATTCTGAGGCTGTGACAGAAAACCCCCAGCTGCCAGTCATTTCAGTGAGATAGATATTTGTCCCTGGTTCGTGTGAAAGACATCCAGAGGCAGGCAGTGCAGGATTGGTGTGGCTCCTCTCTGCCCATCAAGAGCTGCAGCTCCTTTATCTTGTCATGGCACCGGAGTGTGGCCTCCACTCCATGATCCAAAATGGGTGCACATACTCCAGCCTTCGCATCTTCATTCCAGCTACATAAAGGAGGGAGGTTCCTTCCACTGCACTGCTGCAGAGATAAATCCAGCTTCCCAGTGTCCCAGGTTAAAATTCTGAAAAGAAGGCATGGGATTGACCTGGCTTGGGTCAGGCCTACCCTTGGTCCAGGGAGCGTGGAGCACACAGACTGACATCCAATATGGAGGAGGACCTCCCCAAAGGGAACATGGGGTGCTGTTATCAAAAGCAAGGGGAATGGATACTTTGCAAGTAAAACAACACGTACCCCTCTCAGATTTTCACGGGATTCCTTCGTATTTCAGAAATCCCTGCCCCAAGAGCTCCGAACTCCCAAAACTGGTCAGTACTCCCAACTTCCTCACTCATACACACACTCTCAGACCTCAAACCAGATGTGGAAAACCAATGTGAGAGTGTCGGGATGGATTAGTCAGTACTGGTGAGTGCCTGCCAGGGGCTAGCATGGAGATCTCAGAAACCAGAGCCTCGAGCAGCTGCGTGTTTTCTGAGCATAGCAGGCTAAGTTGTATCAGCTATCTGTTGCTGCATAACAAATTGCTCCAACGTTTAGTGGCTTAAAATGACAGTCATTTATTATCTCTCAGGGGTTTTGTAGGTCAGGGATTTGGATGCAGCTCAGCTGGGTGGGCCTGGGTCCAGGGTCTCTTATTGCTGCTACAATCCGATGGTGTTTGGAGCTGTAACCCCAGGAGTCTGGCTGGATATCCCCACTCTTCACGTATCTCAGGACCTCTCCACAAGGACTCTCTGGCAGGGGGGTTCAGGAGAGCTGGACTTCTTACATGGTGGCACACGGCTCCAAAGTGAGTAGAGAGATGAGAGAGCTCACACCTGCTTGGTCTTGGTCTCGGAAAGCACACAGCCTTGCTTCTGTGGGATTCTCTTTGTCCAGACGTTCGCAGAGGTCTTCCCAGGCTAACTGGGGAGAACACAGACTCCATCTCTGATAGGGGAGTGACAAAATTCTGGAAGAGCGGGCGGTTGCCAGAAATTTGTTGTGGCTGTTTTTGGAAAACATGTGGCCACATGGTTAGTGTGGATTCAGTGTCACACCACCTAGCTGTGGGACATGAAGCCCAAGTGACTTTCCTCTCAGGAACTCAGTCTCTTCCTCCATGAAATGGGGGTGTTAGCAGTGGCTGCTCACAGGTGTGTTGGGGAAGCATTCGTTAGGATCACACCCAGAAAGTTCTACACAGAGTCCCATAACATGTGTTCAGTCACAAGGAATAGTTGCTGTCATTTGAAAAGTACTTGGGATGGGGGGCGCCCGGGTAGTTCAGTCAGTTAATCATCTGCCCTCAGCTCAGGTCATGATCTCAGAGTCCTGGGATCGAGTCCTGCATCCAGCTTCTCGCTCAGTGGGGAGTCTACTTCTCCCTCTTCCTTTGCCCCTCCCCCTCTTTGTGCTCTCTCTCTCTCTCTCTCTCTGTGTCTCTCAAATAAAATAAAATCTTGAAAAGTCCTTAGGGGTAAGAATCAAAGCAAGAAAAGAGCAAGGCCATCTCCTCTGGGTAAAGAGCGTGACCTTCTCTGTATTCCCTTCCACTTCTGAACCTTGGGTTTGAAGCATTAAGCAGCAGAACTCCCAGCATTCCCCAAGTGTAACTTTATTTTTTGAGGTGCAATTCACATGAAATTCATCAGATTGAAGCGTACACTTCAGTGGCATTTAGTACGCTCTCAACCTTGTTTGTTCATCACCTCTCTCTAGTTGCCAATATTCTCATCGCTCCTAAAAGGGACCTCAGACCCATTAAGCCGTCACTCCCTGTGCCCCACACCCTCCTCCCCAAGCCTGGTAATGGCTAGTCGTCTTTCTGTCTCTCTGGAGTTACCTCTTCTAGACAGTTCATACAAATTGAGTCATACGGTATGTGGTCTTTCGCAACTGGCTTCTTTCTCTTAGCATCATGTTTTTGAAGTTCATCCTCATTGTAGCATGTCAGTACTTTTTTATGGCTGAATAATATTCCATTGTATGGATATATTACATGTTGTTTAACTTTTCATCCACTGATGGACATTCGGGTGGTTTCTACCTTTTGGATATTGTGAATAGTGCTGCTATGGATATTGGTGCGCAAGTATTTGTTTGGATACCTGTTTTTAATACTTTGGGGTCTATACCTAGAAGTTGGATTGCTAGATCATATGCTAGATCTATGTTTAAATTTTTGAGGAATTGCCAAACTGTTTTCCACAGAGGCTACACCGTTTTACATTCCCACAAGCAAAGTACAAGGGTTCCAATTTCTCCACATCCTGGCCAGCACTTAATACTTTCCTTTTTTTTTTTTTTTTTTTAATTATAGCCACCCTAGGGGCACCTGGGTGGCTCAGTTGTTAAGCGTCTGCCTTCGGCTCAGGTCATGATCCCAGGGTCCTGGGATCGAGCCCTGCATTGGGCTCCCTGCTCAGCCAGGAGCCTGCTTCTCCCTCTCCCTCTGCCTGCTGCTCCCCCTGCTTGTACTTTCTCTGTCAAATAAATACAAAAAAAAAAAAAAATTATAGCCACCCTAGTAGGTGTGAAGTGGTATCTCATTGTGGTTTTGATTTGCATTTGCCTACTGTCTAATGATGTTGAGACTCTTTTTATGTGTTTATTCGCCATTTGTATATCTTCGGAGAAATGTCTATTCAAGTCCTTTACCCATTTTTTTTTAATTGGGTTGTTTGTCTTTTTATTGTTGAGTTGTAAGAACTTTTTATATATTCTGGATACTAGATACTTAATCAGTTTTATGATTTGCAAAAAATTTCCCCCATTCTGTGGTTTGTCTTTTCACTTTCTTGATAGTGTCCTTTGATGTAAAAATGTTTTTAATTTTGATGAAGTTCAATTTATCTTTTTTCTTTTGTCATTTGTGTATTCGGTGTCATATCTAAGAATCCATTGCTAAATCTAAGATCATGAAGATTTACTCCATGTTTTATTCTAAGAGCTTTATAGTTTTAGCTCTTACATTTAGGGCTTTGGTCCATTTTGAGTTAATTTTTGTAAATGGTGTGAAGTAGGGGTCCAACTTTATTTTTTCCATATGGATATCCAGTTGTCCTAGCACCATTTGCTAATAAGATTGTTCTTTCTCCGGGGCG